TTAAATAAGTTGAATTTACAATGCATTTCTTTTGATCAGATATCAATGTCAAATGGGGAGTTTTCATCTGTTAATTTAAATGGTGCATCATTTGATGGAGCACGATTAGATAAAGTGAAATTTGATGGATCATCTTTACTTTGTGTTAGTTTTAATGGTGCAAATCTGGCAGGTGCACACTTTTCAAACAGTGATTTGTCAGGAGCTAAAATAACGGAAGATCAAATAAACCAGGCATCTTTTCACAATGTAACTATGCCAAACGGAAAGAACAGCGAAATCATATCCTCAATGACAACAAAAAAACCTGTAACACAAATAACAACAAAAATGTCAACAACAACATCACCAACATCAACGCCATCAACAACTACAACAACAATGTCATCATCAACAACGACAACAGCAACAACAACATCATCATCATCATCATCATCATCAACAACAACAACTTCAACTTCAACTACAACATCATCAACATCAACTTCAACTTCAACTTCAACAACATCAACTTCAACAACATCAACATCAACATCAACTACAACTTCAACAACATCATCAATAGCAGCAGCAATAGAAGCAACATCGTCAACATCAGTAGCAATAGACGCAACATCAGCGGCAACAAACATTAGTGAGTGTTGGATTAAATATCTAGTGCTTACGTCAGTTGTTGAAAAGAGAAATAGTTTTACGAGATTTAAAAATCTAGTGTTCAGTACTTCGAATCAACTTCAATCCGAAAAAATAAGACAAGTTTGTTGGACAGAAAACTTTTCAAGATGGAAAAATAATCTTTTTACACAGGCAAGCTAGCATTTGTGTACAAAACTAAAGAGGGTGTGGGTGTAAGTATAAGTATTATATCCATCATACACCCACCCTTGATTAGGAAGTTGTATTAGACAGCGCATAGAGTGGAGCAAAAGATTATTTCAGTTAGACTTGAAACTATTAAAAATGGTTCAAAGAAGTCTACCCGATTCTATTCATTAGCTTTATACTAACTGAGATCACATTATTCAAATCCTATACAATTCAACATCTTAAAAAGAATTTGTTTTCTGATAGCCTACAACCTTTTTCTTAATGAAACTACTTACTCAGTTGGCACTAAACCAGAAGCAGTAGCAGTCGTCGACGTGAATACCGACAACAAACCCGATATTGTTGTTGCAAACTCTAATTCGGACAACGTCAGTGTTCTTCTCAACGCAGGCAATGGTACCTTTAATACTTCAGCGACTTACTCAGTTGGCTCATCACCATACTCAGTAGCAGTCGTCGATGTGAATGGCGATAACAAATCCGATATTATTGTTGCAAATTATGGTTCAAACAACGTCGGTGTTCTTCTCAACGCAGGTAGTGGAACCTTTAATGCGCAAACTACTTACTCGGTCAGCTTCAATCCGTATTCGATAGCTGTTGTCGATGTGAATAGTCACAATAAACGTGATATTATTGTTGCAAACTCTGGCTCGAACAATGTCGGTGTTCTTCTCAATGCAGGCAGTGGCACCTTTAATATTCAAATTACTTACGCAGTTAGTTCTGGTCCACGCTCAGTAGCAGTCGTCGATGTGAATAGCGACTATAACCTGATATTATTGTTGCAAACTCTCGTTCGAACACTGTTGGTGTTCTTCTCAACGCAGGTAATGGCACCTTTGATAATCAAACTATTTACCCAGTTGGCACTTTTCCATGGTCAGTAGCAGTCACCGATGTGAATAGTGACAATCGGCCTGATATTATTGTTACAAACTCTGATTCGAACGACGTCAATGTTCTTCTCAATGCAGGCAGTGGCGCCTTTAATATTCAAATTACTTACGCAGTTAGCTCTTCTCCATCATCAGTAGCAGTCATCGATGTGAATAACGATAATAAACCCGATATTATTGTTGCAAAATCTGCTTCGAGCAACATCGGTGTTCTCTTACATTGTTAAGGCTTATCGATGATTATTATCTATTTATTTATTAATATTTTACTACTCTACTAAAACTATTACGCTTATAAAACATTATACGATCCGAACTGCTATTTAGCTTCATTCAATATTAAGAATTTCAGTAAAACTTTGCGACTATGGATATTAATAACAAATACATTAGTATCCATACATTGAACAGTAATTCATTATTTCATAATAATATTTCTAGTTATGGAACTATGTGTATTGCAATTACTCAAAATTCAAAACATTAGTTTTGGATGTGTAAAACAATATAGAAAAATTTCATAGACTTGATTATTTATCTGTAATCTGTTCAACACAAGCTTTTTAACCCTCTGAAAATAAATAAACTACTACTGATTCTAAGAGGCAAAGTATACTTAAAGATGTGGGTTATGTCAAGATAACGATGGTAAAGAAGATAACCACTTTCACCATCTTTTTAAATATAGTTTGATGATAATTCAAGTATCTATTGAAAAGTAACTAATATCTTTTAGTCAACTAGATTTCTATAAATATATATATACATTACGACAAATCTCTTTGGGTTTTTCGAGTGATCACGTATTTTGCAAAATATCTGAATCAACATATAGTCCTATGTGAGCGAGTTGTTTGCATATAGATTTCTCTTTTGTTGGATGATCATGAGTACACATAAAAAATTTCGGTAGAATTAAAAATCTTTAACCGTCAATCAATATTTAGTTTTGAATAGTTCCGCAGTTGCAAAGATCTTCATTATTTTCTTTTCAATCAAGCAATATTTATTTAAAAAAAGAAATAAAAAACGCAATTTAGCGAACACGTATTGTACCGCATGCTATACGAGGACCAGCATTTCTACAAATTCGATGAAAATATCAATAAACAAAAGTGGCAACCCAGTATACGAACACTTACCCAGTGGTGTTACTTTCACCTTTGCCTGTGTGACCTCCATCATCAGTCAAATTATGGATCATAAGCGGTAAACCAATTACATTTCTTGTCTTATCGAATCCGATCGAAATGACATTATCACGCATTGCAATATAGGCTCTGCCATTACCATCTGTTTCAATGTTACCTAAATCGCCGACATGCCGTTGTGAATCTCTAGGCATGCCATGAGACACATCTATCATAACAGATAAAGTATAAAATTCATCAATGTATTCTAAAAAACTGAACTTACTGTAGGGATTGAAATGAGCTCCACCAGCTGAACAATTGTGATTGTCATCAATGGGTAATGAATGAATATGAAAACCCTAATAGAAATGTAATGCTTATTGAAAAAAATCATGTTTAGACTGTGACAAGCCATTTATGGAACTTCGGCTGTTTATAACTGGGTATCAAAACAATCATAGATGGTGCTCTTTAACGTGAGAATATTATGAAAAACTGATTTATGACATTCTATTATCGCTGTTTTTCTTTTTGTTGTAAAAATATGAAGAATGATAACGAAACTCTATAATGTAACGGAAGACATCAAACTGACTCTTTCTACTTCAAACGAAAGACGAAGTAAAATGTAATAATTATATTACCAACGTTGCCATGGGTCTCAAACGATTAACAGAACCGGAAATGATAACACCCCAAGCTACTTCTTGCTCGTTGAAGCCGATCGTTCCAATAAAGTCATTTGTCCCTGAGAGATACATTTCGGCCTGAGCATAATTCCCATTAGCTATCTGTGCGAGAGCAACAACAAATACCAGAAAAATAAGAATACGTTTCATCTTTAGTTGTTCGAAAATGTTGTGTAATGATTTACATGGTAGAAGAAAAGAAGAAGAACAACGATGACTTGATAAAAAGTTCTTATCTCATATTTCATATGGGTGGTACAAAGCATGAAAAACCATGCGTACTCCCCCAATATAGCATCATTTTGTTCTATTATTTATTACACAGACATTGAAAATGGTGTTCTCTTATCTTTTTCTCTAATAAAGAAATTATTGAGTCATTGTGCAAGACTATCACATGGAGACGAGTGCTTAAAACAATAAAAGAGATTTATTTCGCATTGATAGTCATTTTTGTCGCTCTTGCTAACTTGCCCCAGTGTCTGAATCATGCATGAAGCTTCACCCTCTTTTTAAAGAATGTTTCCGTTTTGAGTGATGAAAGGAAAGAAGGGCTTGCCACTAATATTTCACTAAATAGGCAATAACAATGATAAAAAAAAATCATTCTTCTGAGTTGAATCAAACGATAGTTGTTCTCGATTGAAATCAAAACGAAGTCATCTCTTCTAGATTTTATTGATTCATTTACCTGAATCGCAAGACTGAAGTAACAAATAGCTATGGCTTTTAACTGTGATCTTTCTGTCAATGCACATCTTGTAGATGTTGGCGAAGAACGTTCGAAAACATTGACACCCTTGTCAACAGCCACGGCTAACAATCAACAGTTATTTGAACCACCTTTCGATATGAGCAGTCATCTGCAAATAGCAAGCAGCCAAGGCAAACAGGCAACGCCGATAGAAGCTGGTAAGAAAACTTGATTCATTTATCGATTGTACCATATCTGTATGTTTTGATGGCAACTAAATAAGATATTCACCTGAGAGACATCACAAAATACGGAGTTACTGAAATCAATGAAAAGATCCTCGAGGGCTTTTCGAATATTCCCCAAAACTACTGAGGGTGTGGGTGTGGCTATGAGTGCTAAATCCACTACGCACCTGCACCCACATCCTTGAATGAATCTGAAACAGAAACTTTTTTCTTCTCTTGTAGAATTAAATAAATATCAAAATATACAACTTCAGCAAAACATCGCACAATATCAACTTCTCTGTGAGATATCCTTGTCTAAACAACAATTGACCGATAGTGATATGGAAATTGTAGTTAAAGAGGCCATCATAAAAAAAGAGTGTACAAAGCTCTTCCTAGCGATGAACAAAATCACATCAATCGGTGTCTCGACTATCGCTTCATCATTGTACACCAATATTACATTGGCTGAGTTATATCTAGGACATAATCGCGTATCTGACACTGGTGTTGATTCTCTTGCAAAAGCACTGGCGTTTAACAATAATACTCTCAAGGGACTTGATCTTGGAGAGAATAGTATAACAGACTTGGGTGCAGAATATCTAGTTGAAATTCTCAAGACAAACAGAACATTGACTTATTTATGGTTACGTAAGAATAAAATAAGCGATCGAGGTGTTGAACTATTGGCCAATGTACTCAAAAATCACAATACAAGTCTTGGATGGTTATTTCTCTGCGAAAATAAATTAGTAACTGACTCCTGTGTTGATTCTCTTTGCAGCATGATCAAACACAGCCGATCATTGAAGGGACTCGGGATGATTGACTGCAGTCTATCCGAAATGGGCAAAGAAAGACTTCAAAAAGCAATACAATCAAATACAGACTTTGCTCTGTTTGTGTAATACATTCATTGACTAATAAACAAACGTTTCAGAGGAATACAATGAGAAAAAAATCTGTAGTCTTCATTTTTCTTATCTTTTTTCACAGAGAAATGTATTACGAAACAGCGAGAAGAACAGGATTGAAGCGGTACACAATCAAGGTTACATGAAAAAGCGAACTGTCTTATGTGTAGCAGTAGTGACACGGTTAGACCTTACCTAAAGATCTTTTGTCAGCTTGGTATTTCTTTACTATTGATATAAATTGAATACAGTTAATTACGGTTGATAGCTGAAATATCACTCTTTGCATATGTCTTTTCAATGCGTGTCCATCTTTAAATATGGCAAAAATTAAAAATAATGAAGATAAGACTGAAACTTATGAAACACTCTCGACAATAACTCCCTTCCGCATTCACTTGTGTCTGAACAGAAAAAAAATGTCAGAAAAGTCTTTTGTAAGTTTCTCTTTTTTAATTACTAACAATATAAAATATTTTCAAGAAACTGCGGTGTTTTGAGGGCTTTAAGAGAATTTTTCAGGATTAAAATGTAAGTAAACCATTTTAGTAACAGGCTTCGTTATTTTTCAGCGAAGAACTTGAAAATTAACCATATTTCGGATTCAAGATGCCAGTTACACTTACAATTTTTTAATTAAATGAGCAGTTAAGGAGAATTTCTATTATTTTCAAGACAACATTTTCTCAGAAGGAACCTTCTTACACAGAGAAGCTTTTACTATAGAGATAATAGTTTATGTAGCATCGAATCGTGAGGGTGTGGGTGGCTGTGACTATTCACCTCATCCCTCATTTAAATCCACACCCAACCCCTTAAATAGTTATAAAAGGATCTTTTTCAATGCATATTTTTCTCTTTTTTAATTATATGGACAAAAATAAATAAAATATATGTATGCAAATATTTGAAAAAGGTTGAAATATTTGTATACTGTTAGTTCTGGTGATCGAACGTCTTGTCGATAATTATCCGATCACTTGTTCTTGCAGTTGATAATGTTTAAAGAGTTCTAATAATTGAAATTTGTTGATTAAAACGTTCTTTTTGATAAAACAAGTGGTGCTGTTTGCTGAAACAGATAGATAATCATCGTGATTGTAGGTCACCTGGATGTACTTGTAATATTGAGCAAAATCAATATGATAAAGAAATTTCTATTCGATGTTTTATACAAAAAAAATAGCTTTTATCATAAATTAAATATTCAGCGCTCTGCTTAAATTTTATTTTGATTTTAAACACTAACTTGCTGTTAGATTTATACTTGTTTATAGACGAGGCATCTTTTTGTTCAAATAGAACTTGAGAATATTTAAAACAGACAGTTTTTAATGTTTCTATTTAAATTTATCATTGTGATAAACCTGATTTCAAATTTATTCAACAGTTAGGTTCAACCAATCAAAAAAAAAAAATAAAATTCAAATTGTTTGAAAATTGAAAATTAATTCTATTAATTATTCTCAAAGACTAAATGTGTCAGATAGAATCATGAAATGTTCATTAAGTTCAACATAGCAAGCGTTTTGAAAATTATACTCCCTTTGTTACAAGGCCCTTTTCTTCTGATAGATGAGTCAATAGATTATTTATTTAATAATCTTATTTCTTAACTACTTTTATTAGAAAAAGAAGAAGGTATTTATACCATCGTTAATGTCTAGGCACACACACAAACACACGCGGAAGACATATGGAAAAAGGAGAGAACAAAGGGAGAAGAAGAGTGATCATGCATATCCCTCTTACTTCATACCCAAAGCGGACGAGAAGATGATGTAATCATCTTCTTGTAAGAAGTAAAAAGAAAAGAAAGAAAGAAAAGAAAACAAACGAAAGAAGATGAAGTAATTTATCTTCTTGTGAAAGTAAAGTGAAACATAGAGAGAAGATGAGAAATTCATCTTCTCATTCAACAAGAAGGAAAGCCTGGACGAACCAGTTGGTCGTCATGTGAAGAGAGGAGAGAGAGAGAAAACACATGATATACACACGCACGCACATACACCGAAAAGAAGAAGAACCAAATATATATATATATATATATATAGTAATAAGTATTACTATTGTTAGAATGCTCTCTAACACCATTTTACAATCTTTTATTTATTTTTTTATTCATCATCATCAGTGAACAAAAAAAAGAAACTGGTAATGCTTGTTGCGAGATACAAAAAGACAACAGGTATTGCTTGTTTTGCATCAATCGTTGAGTATTAGACAATCCCAGATCGAAAGATCCGGCCCGGAAACGGTCGGTTCTAGACAATTCCGATGAACGAATTCCTGACATTTCCATGCTAGTTTCGACCAGAAGCGGTAGTTTGGCCGCAGGTTTCACTCGGAAATTCATGAAATACTGCTTCCAAAATCATCGTCCTGGGTAGTTCTTAATCCTAAAATACGAGAAATTTACGATTTAATATATCCGAATTGCTATTCAATATACTTACTTGAAATATTGCGTCAATCATAGTATTGATTAAATCAAATTTTACATCTGGAGTTACATGATCGGTAAGTGTTGCTGATGCGACAGTATCTTCTAAGCTCTTTAATAGAAAACAAAATTTTATCTCACCGTATATTAATTTAACAAGGATTAACAATCTTTCGAACAGTTGCGGGTAGAGTATCTACGCTTAATGGTGCAGTTGCCTTGATAACACAAACCCGAAAAATCATTTTAACACGACTAACGTCGTATAAATCCTAAAAAAAAGCAAAATGAATTATGAGATATTTTTATGAAAAAAAATTTATAGTAGTTCCGTTATTGCCACTTGAGTCGTGTTCTTATTCAACAAAACACGAACAAGAAACGGGCGATATAACGGAAAAAGAAATTTATTATAACATACCATAAATTTGACTTTTGCCTGTAACCAATCAATATAACGACAAATAGAAACAAACGTGCGGGTGCGGGTCAATAACTACATTTTTTTCACATACCAAGATAATGTGTAATGATGCAAGCGCAATCACTATCTAATATATAGCTATAAATACCCAGATCGAGCGTTTCGGAATTCTTCTAAGTACAATGTGTGGTACATATATCTTCGATTAGATGTTCTAAAGTAGTAAAATAAAGCAACATACTTAAAAATAAATAACAATCTTAGATTAAATTAAGTACTTACTGTTCGATAAATGCATCAATTTAGAGCATCTAGAATAAAATAAAATAATCTAAAATAAAACTCTATAATATAAAATAGTTTTTAGTTAAGTAATAAAAATGAGATATTAGTATGAAGTAGAATAATATATCATTAGTAAGGAAGGATAAAATAAAAAGTATGGTTAGTTGAAAAAAGAAAAAGTGTTTCTATTGTTCAGTCAAAATTTGATTTCAGATGACAGGCTTATCTGTTACTGTCTTCTTTCGAAATACAACTCGCCAATATTCTGCTCGTCCCTGTTTCATATTATCATAAAACTGAGTGCCAGGTAATCCAGCCAATAGACGACAATATTCTTGATCTGCAGATCGAATATAACGCTCAATAAAGTTAGCACGTGAGTTACTCTGAATATCAAGTGCATGAAGAACATTTCTTGTAATATTGACCTTCTCTTTAATAATAAATGTATTATTTGCTGTTAAATAATCAATCAATACACTTGAACCATCTACATTACACAAGCCACACCAGAGAAAATATCCACTAGGAGTAAGCACACGAGTAGCTTCGTCAATGAATTGCTTCATGGCTACTATTTCATCAAAAACGTTTATTGTTTCAATCGAGAGAACAACATCCAGAGACTCATTCTGAAATGGTAAATGGGTTTTTGGATCAGCTATTATAAATGAGAGTCGAAGAATTTTCGAATAAAGTTGTTCACACAGGTTAATAACATCTTGAGAAGGATCTATTCCAACATAAGAGCGAGGAGCATATGTACGAACACACCAGGCAGCACCAACACCTCTACCACAACTCACTTCGAGTATATTTTGATCTGTAAGTGCTACATTAGCAAGAACCTAAAATGAAAAAAACAAAATATTCTAATGGTGATTGCTGCTACATTTGTCACTCATCACTTCATTCATTGCTCACTTTTTTTCAAAAATGCGCAAGTAGATTAAGACGGAACTAGTTCATTTTTAGTTATTCGTCTTAACGAGTTATGAATGAAAACTTCGAAGACATCATAACAATTCTTTGGTTTCGATCAATTCATTATCTGTCACTTATCGAATATTTATGATAAAGTAACTAAAACTATGGTATGAGTAAGATTCTTATCAATTAATTCAAGCATCAAAAGTTACTCTATAATACTATATCAGAAATATTTCAATTTAAATGTATTTGATTCTTTCATTCGTCTTCGCTTACTTGTTGATAGAGTTTCTTCGAATAGTAACCAGTGTTGTCATCAATATGCTCATTCAAATCTGCATAACCCCAGTTCATAAATTGTAGTTCATTGATATTCTTATAGACATTTGAAATTTGTTCATACCACAAAGACAATCGATCAAAATTCTCAGATTCCTGTTGACATTTGACGACATCATCACAAATAGGTACAGATCGAGATAACATTGGTTTTGCTACATAAGATTCTAGAAGAAAGGAATACAATACAATAAAATGATGAATATATATTATATGGTATGATCATCAGGACAATAGTTTAACTTTGAATGATATTTTTTTTCAAAAAATCAAAAAAGATGTAAAGAAACGAAAATGTATGATATTCTTTTTCAATGCTAGAAAAATACGGCAAATTTACAATCTTATGAAATCGTATGATATGTAAATTCAAGACTTTTGGATTCTATTGGAATACTGTTCAGTGTAGTCAAACTCTATAATAACGGAAATATATATTATTAATCGGTTAAATGTTGCCAAGAAATCAAACAAAACTGTATTCATTGATATAAAATGCTAACCTATAACTGATTGATCCCATAGGATGAAATTTTAATAAATATTTTAGAGTGAAATCTAACAAAAAAATACATTAAAAGTTGATATGTATTAGCGACACAGAGCAAAAGACGTTAAAAGTATATCGAATACGTTAAATATATCGTGCATAATGATCAGTAGAAAAGTCAATGAGAGGAAAATCTATTTTATATGATATATTATATCGATCAAATAATATTCTTCGTCTCTTGTCATCAATAATAGAAAATGATTTCTTCATTCAGGCTTTTTCTTTTCATTCTGAGATGAAGAATAAATCATATGAGTATATATCATTACAATGCATTTATAAAACAATAATGAATACTTCAAGAAAATCATGCTCTCAATAATGCAGATAAAGAAATATCCTTAAATCTTCATGAATAAAATGAAATTTAGGGAATATTATCTAACATCTTAATAGTATTATAATGCAAGCGTGTGTAGTTCGATCTATCTAAATGACCTACGTGCAGGAAGTCCTTTCCATTGTGTGTTTGGTTGCAATATATCATTTTTCATTACGAGTGTAAACGGGTAAAGCCGATTGTTACCCATTAATTTACAACCTGGCATTACAATTGACCCACTCATAAGTGTACACGAGTTACCTACTGTAACAGGAACTAGTTTCAAAATACGATGTTCGAAAGTGTGACACTGAAATAATTGTAAAGAACAATAGTGTTTAAATGAAAAATGACAAAAACGAATATATTACCACAATAATAGCATTGATATTAAGCCGAACATGGTCTCCAATGGTTACCAAATTGTAATCAAAAATAGAAGAAACATTAGGTAAGATTACATTGTTGCCGATATTTGCACCATATATTCGAAATAACCGAATTAGCCATTGTGTATTGCCAAGAAATGGACAGATAAAAATTTCGTGATCTTCTTCTAGTTTTCTTATTATCTGTTTGATTATTTTATTGTCTACATATGAATGCCACCGATTTAAACTGCAAACAATCATTGTATGAAGGATTAGTCCACCAACAAGCCCACATGACCAATAGATGCCTATGAGAAGACATTTGCTAATATAATGAGAAAAACAAGTTTTCCAAAATGGAGTAGTTTGAATTTGATCTTTCATCGTTTGTCTAATAGGCATTTGAAATGGCATAGCACGAGCTGGAACACCAATGAAAACATCTCCATTGTTGCTATTTGTTTCTCGAGTGATACGTGTTAAATTGCCAACCATAGTATGAGACGCAAGATGACTACCCGGCAAAATTGAACATATATTAGCAAGATTTGTATGAGAGCCGAGTGTTATCCTATCTACACGATGATCACCCTCAAGTGTCATCTCAGTAGGAACTAATAAAACGTAAGCAAAACTAGTGACTCCTCTTTCGAGTTTTAATAAATTTGTTGGATAGGACAAGAAGATGTCTATACTACTGAGTTTGACATCATCTTCGACTTGAGCACCTAGCCAACGGAGAATAAAAGGATACAGATAATCATGTTCACTTGGTAGGAACCAGGCATAATGAAAACTAGATACAATTAATTGACGAAGCCATACCTTATGTAAATATGACCATGATGCAATTGGATATGTCTCACCAGCAGCACAAGAACCAACTATGAATTTCAAGAGAAAAAGAGTGACAAAACAAGCAATAATTGACCATAAAGTCCAGCAAAAAGCAATACTAATAGGCAGTGGTATTTGTTCAACTGAATAAACTTTGTAGACAATGGCTAAGAGTGTACAATGAATACAGATGAGTGAGATTATTGTAATAACTTGATAGATCTTGTGCCATATTGAGAATGATCTGTTACTATGTGTGATTGAAATATCTGATGAAACCGATTTATGTTCTTCACCATCGATAATTGTTCGAGATGCGATGAAACCAGTGACTGATGACATAGGCTGAACAATAATATTATCTTGCATATCAACTCCATCAAACAGAATTGATCGGGCACTGATTGAACAATAGCTACCAATTTTAATTGAATGTAATGCAAAAGTATCATTATCAGTGTAATATAAGCAGTTTAGAGTCGTTTTATCAGCAATCCAAGTTTCATCGCCGATATCTAATAACCATGGAGCATCCATAGTTATGGTATAAATATGTGCATTATGACTAACTCGAGCACCACAAAGACGAAGATAGTAATTGTACAAAGGTGTACCAAGTATATGTTGTAGCCAAAATCCATTATTATTCCATAATCGATCTGAAAACCACCAACGATAATAGTTCCAAGAGAAAATATTGTCATCTTTGATGTTTTGTGGTGAAAGTAGACGTGAACAAATGGCATAGAATAAAAGATGACATATTGGTAAGATAGGAAAAAGAAGTGGACACCATTGATGAATTATGATGATTGGCAACAACCACTGACAAACAAGAAGCGCAATACCTAAAGATTCGACGACAAATGAAGGTGATAGACGAACATGTGTTTCATGAATTTCATTGGCTGTGGAAGGTGTCGCTTGTAGCTCTTCGAGAACTGATAAAGGTTTTATTGCTTGAGCCAGTTGTCGAATAGATGGATTATTAAATAAAAGACCAATGTCAACCTTATTAGAGATCTGTTGACGAATCAATGTAAGTGCAAGAATAGCACTCAATGACGTACCACCAAGTTGACCAAAAGAAATTTCAACATGAGGGGATTCAATATGGAAAGCTTGGCTAAATATATTTTGTAACTGTTGTTCTAAAGTGGTGCGCGGCACATTATCATCAATATTATCAGCTGACGATGAAAACTCAGGTGTTGGTAAGGATTTTCGATCTATTTTTCCATTCTGATTCAATGGTAATTTATCAAGTATAATAAATATGGATGGAATCATATGTGGTGGAAGATGAGATTGACAATGTTCACGCAATTTCTGTTCATTAACATCAGAACTTTGAACATATGCAACTAAATGATCATCATTCCATTTCACAACAACACAATTAGAAATAGATGTAGTGTTAAGTAAACATCGTTCGATTTCACCAAGTTCGATTCGTTGTCCATGAAGTTTGATTTGATGATCTTTTCTTCCTTGATAATGGAGAAGACCATTGTTATCTATTCTAACAAGATCACCTGTTCGATAAAAGAGTTGATCATCTATTTCAACAAGAGCTTTTGCAGTTAAATCATCACGTCCAAAATAACCAGCAAATACACCCACTCCTCCCACTAGCAGCTCACCTTCTTGACCGATGAGAGATGGTTGTAAATATGGACTCATGAATATACATCGGTAATTAGAAAGTGGTCTACCAATTGAGACGCTTCGTGTGTCCTCTATTAGGTCTATTCTGTGGAAGGTAGAAACTATAGTTGTTTCAGCTGGACCATATAAATTCCACACAATACAGTTGGTTATGCCAATTTTCAGGATCAAGTCGATCAAATGAACAGCAAAAGCTTCACCTAAAATAAAGGTAACGTAGTGTGACGAAAGGGCGAGAGTTTCTCGTCACTCACCAATACTACAAAGTGAACGCAGATGTTTTACGGCATTTATGTTCCTGTTTTGCTCAATAAAAACGAAAAAGCTATGTAGAAAGCTTGGTACAGTATGTAGATATGTGATCTGTTTGTTCTGTAAGGTTTCAGATAAATAGTTGAAATCAATCGTTCCACCTGGATGAAGCATAACCAATGCGCCTCCAACCAACAATGTACCAAGTATCTCTTGAACATGAATATCAAATGAACATCGTGTCATTTGTACAACTGTATCATATTTATTGAATGTGTTAATATAAGCCAAAGAATGTATACAATCCATAAAGTTCTTATGTCTAACTTGAACCTGAAAAATAGTTTAAGAGTAAATCAAATATCAGAAAATCGAATACCGACGTACCGCTTTCGGAGTTCCAGTTGAGCCACTAGTGAAAATAACGTACACTACGTCTTCACCTTCCACTATCACATTTGAAAGACAACTATAATTCATGTCACTATCCATATTATTACCATTTAATATCGAATCAATATCCAGTGCAACAATATCATCACTGAATTTGGTCTTTGTGAAATGATGAATAAGAACAAGACGACTTTGAGTTTGTTGTGTGAGTGCATGCAATCGATGTTGCGGATCTCGTGGTGATAATGGACAATAAACACCACCAGCCATTTCAACTGCCATTATACCAATAACCTATACAATATCAAAACGTCTATCACGCTAAACGTCAATCTCAGCAAAAATAACTCACCATCGACAAACTTCTTTCAACACATTGACATACGACCTGACCTGAAAACACATGATATTCATTAAGAAGAGCTAAAGATAAGACTTGAACATAATATAGAAGTTCACTATATGTCATTGATTGTTCATCTAGTTCAACTGCTAGTTTTTGTGGATGTTTCATCACTTGATATACAAATTCATGATGAATACACATGAGAGGAGATGAAAATGATATTTCTGTATCATTCAATGATTGCATTAGATATTGTTCATTTGTTAATGTTAATGATAGTTCATAGATAGGTTTGTTTATTTGATTGTCAACAATAGATGTAGATAATTGATTTAAGATGGAATGAAATCGGTGTGAAATCTTCTCCACTGTGTCTCTATTGAACAAGTCGAGTGATGCAATGATTGTGCATGACAGTTGATTCATGTTCATATCATGATGAAATGAAAGAGAGAAGTCCGATACACTTAGTATTTCATCTTCATTATCGTTAAATGAGAAAGATGCTGGAACAAGTTGAGAATCACCAAGTATTATTGCATTGTTGTCATTATTACTCTTGTTTGATATAAATTCCAGGGATGTATCCAGAAATGCATGTTTTGAAATATGTGGATGTTGAGTGAGAATATGTTGAAGTGGAAAATATGAATATTTCATACTGTTTGTTGTTATCTCTTGAACATGTTCGAGTAAATGATGAAAACACCAATGTGGATCTATTTGACATCGTAATGGAATGATATTTTCAAACAATCCAATTATAGATTTTAGTTCATCTCTATAACGATTGTCGATATTCATTGCAATACATAAATCTTTTTCACCATTTGTTAATTTAAATAAGAAGATAAAGTACGTAGCAAGTGCTAGATGTTCATGTTTGATATTGTTTGATGATGCATACATAAGAAAATGATGAGAAAGATCTTGACCAAAATCGAAAGAGATAGATGTTGTCCGACCAGTTCGATGTTCATTCATAAGACGATACCGATCAAATCGTAATGATAATGGTTGATCGAGTTTACAATCATGAAGAGCATCAAGCCAAAACATACTTGCACCAGTCATTGGCATTTGTTGTTCAAGAACAGCATCTACATAGTTAAAGAAAACAATGTATTAAGCAAAAGATAAGAACTAATTATATTTACAGTCGAGGTAACGAAGATTGGTGTTGTCATCGTATAGTAATTGACCTGTTGTGTATGCTTGATTGAGATCATGAAGAAATACTTTCATCGATGGAAAGTCAAATAAAGCATGATGAAAGTTAAAAATAAGTAGATCTTTGTGAGAAAGAAGATGATTTGAAGAGATTTGTTTGTAGTAAACAAGATGACATCGAAAGACAAGACCTTGATTAAGATCGAAAAGTTGAGGATTATGTGTTTCTTCATGTATGACATGATTGAGTTGTTCTTGTGTTGTGTAAGTAGTTTCAAGAAACGTGAATAATGTATTATTATTCTGGCTGAAGTCGGTAATTTGTTGCATGAGTCGATTGTTTTCTGTATGATATATGAGTGATGTTCGAAGAGATTCATGTCTCGTAACGATTAGTTGAAGAGCATGACGAAGTTGTTTTACCGATATAGTTTGATGTGAGTAGAGAGAATAGAGAAACGGCATGTTGTAGATTGGCACTTGTGATATATGAGGAGTGAAATGAATAGATTCATTATACCATAGACGAACTTGTGCAAATGATGCTGGTGCTAGAATAATGAGAGCTTTTTAGATTATAATTCAAGAGAATAATAATGAAGTCATATCCGATATCAGTGTCTCAGACACTTTTCATATGATCGGTTTCCTAACTAGTAAGAGAATTGGTTGAGGATGTTGGATCAGTATTATGATTGCATTAACTGAAATTCATTATAATATTTTTTCGTTAATATTAGAAAGTACTTCAAGATTTTGGTATTAGTGTCAAATTTATTTCAGTATTACACGAATGTTGATGATTATGAGCAGAGTGCAGAACTGATGAATATTTACAAGGCTAGTAGGTAAAGTGGAAGAAAATATATATGTTATGAGATTTATCAAGATTTGTAGTATATTAATACATGTATATACAACGTCAGAAGAAAACAAAAGTAAACCGAAATATTTGATGATAGAGAACGATGTGATATAGGTATCTTATGACTATATAGTCCGACTATGACTGCGACGAGCTTCTTCCATGTTATTCTAAATCCGATTTCATAAATTTTTATTACTTCACTTCGAGTTTAGTTTTGACACCCAAAAATCTCAACAATTTATTACTGATAACTATATAGTGACGTATCACATACTTAGTACTTACGTTAGTTTACTTATAAGTCAAAGAGAACTAATCCTGCCAATGACAAACTCCGCAATTTATCAACTATATTCAACAGTCTACGTAAATTAAGTGTGATTTGTTTGCTGAAATAAAATCTACAAGGCATCTTAGTTTTGATAGAGTATCAGTTTCTACACTCTAAATAAAAAAGGTGGTCTACTGAACTCCCAAAAAAGGTTTCGTCGTGACAAAAAAGTCTCCAAACATGTTCAAACCCTAATAGTTTTGTACTAAACCCTAATGTTCTTGAGTAGTTTAATATGAAACTCTAAAGGTTTCGTATTTCTCCACGAAACCTTTTTTCGGTGTCCTGAACTTAAAAAAAGGTTTCGTAGGTGAAGGTTCTTCCCCCCGACACACGGGAAGATCCTTTAATGGTTTCGTAGAATTTTTTATTGTGTTTTTCAAACTTTGAACATGTTTGGAGACTTTTTTGTCACGACGAAACCTTTTTTGGGAGTTCAGTAGACCACCTATTTTATTTAGAGTGTACATAAACAGGCTTATGAAAGATTCTACTATCATAGTTGTTCTGGGTCTTGAAACGACATATACAACTTTCCAGCAACGACAAGTGTTATTTTTTATTGATTAATATCAAAATACAAGACTATTCACATATTCAAAGCAGATATTCATCAGCGATCTCTTCTTAAAAGTCACAAAACTAAACCGCCTGAAAAAGACAACCCGAGTCGTTAACGATTACAACTCATTTGAGTCCCTATTTTCTCATTATTTATTCCGCTAGGATTCATTTAAAACACTGAAAATACTATGTCTGTGCATTGGAATGCACTTTAATGTTTATTTCTCATTCCTGATTTAACTAACTACTACTTATATAAGACAATATAACAAGCTGTACACAATCATACCTTCATTCATAATATTGTCGAATCGATGAAATACGGCTAATTCCATTTCTTCAGCTTCCTCAGGAAGAATAAGAGAAATTTTGTTAATCAATGAACTCACATTCATCACAGTAGTGTTGCTTGGTTGTGTTTGAAACAATTGCTCAAACATATACTGAAATCTTTGAGCTATTTTAGAAATAGTTGATTTTTCAAACAAATCATGTGAACAAACAAAACTACATGATAATCTCTTGTTATCTGATAATGGATTGCATACAAATGTGAGTGAGAAGTCAAATTTAGACATTTCAAGTGATTGCTCTAATGATATTTCTTCTAAATTCGCATCGTTTAAACATAAATGTTCAACATCTTTTGACACACTAATAAAATCAAACATTGTCTCAAAAAATGATACATTTGATTGCGTAAGATGTAAATCAGCAAGAATATGTTGAAGTGGATAATGAGAATGTTCAAGAATTGATAAACATTTTTCTCGTACACATTTAATAACTTCATCAAATGACCAATAAGGATCAATTACTAAACGATATGGTAATGTTGATACAAACATTCCTATCATATTCACTAATTCACTTCGATACCGGTTGGCATTAATAGAACCAATACATAGATCAGTCTCATCATGAGTTAATCTGAATAGAAAGACATACAATGTCGCTAGTCCAAGTTGAAAAAGTGTGAGATGATGTGATGATGCATAACTTAGAAATGATGTGCATATTTCATCATCAAAAGTGATTTGAGCTGAAGAAGCTAAACCTGATCCTTGTTGATTGGTTGATGAACGTTGTCGATCAATAGGTAATGATAATTGGCGTGCAATACTATATCCTTTGAGTTCTAATTGCCAGAATTCACGAGATAATGACATATTCATGACATGTTCATGAACAGAATAATCGATATAATTCAATGTATTTTCATCCATAAATAAAGAGCCATCAGACTGATAAGCAAGAGAAAGATCACGAAGAAAGATTGATGTTGATGCTCCATCAAACATTGTATGATGAATACTAACCAATATATGATCATTTTCACTCAATAGATCATTATTCTCACATGAGATACTATCTTGAGATTGATGACAATGGCGAAGAATATGACAACGAATAACACGTCCTTTTGATAAATTAAATAAATCAACTTGATTTAGGATTTCTCCAATAATTTCACTCATATGACGATGATCATCATTATGAAGATTAACGATTGTCAATTCACGTGATTTCATATGATCATCGAGAATGATATTTGCATCTAAACACTGTTGAATAATAGTACCATGTGTATCCTCAATATAAAGTGCTGTTCGAAGAATATGATGTTTTGTGATAACACATTGAAATGCATGATGTAATCGAGTAATTGATACATGATCATTCGTAGATGATATACGATAAAGTAATGGAATAACATACATATTATTCATGGTTGTTTGGTTGGATGAAAAACGAATTTGTTCATCTAAAAAGATTCGTTCTTGTGTCAGTGATACCCTAGCTAGAATGAGAAAAAAAAGAGATGAATATGTAGTTGATAATAATATCCAGTACAAGTTGTGTTGTTTACCTTGAATGAGATGCAATGGAGACCAGGGATAATCATTCAGAGTATCCATGATATTGATAGATTGTTGAATGAGTTGTGCATGATGACTAATTGTTGGATGTTGAAATAGATTTGAAATAGAAAGAGAATTTATTTCTAGATGAAATTGGATCTTGTATTGGTGAAACAATTGCATCATAAGTAATGAATGACCACCAATAGTAAATATATTTGTATTAGTTAAGATTTGATCTTGTTTGAATAACTCACACCAAATACGATGAATACTAACTTCAATATCATTTGTTGGTAGTAATAGTTCGATACTGTTTGTGATATTTATAGATAAGAAGTGAGGTAGCGGAAGAAGTTTTCGATCTATTTTTCCATTGGAATTCAAAGGTAGTTTATCAAGTATGATAAAGAAAGATGGAATCATATGTGGTGGAAGATGAGATTGACAATGTTGACGTAGTTCTTCTTCATTCACGTGAGAAGATTGAACATATGCAACTAAATAATCATCATTCCATTTCATGACAACACAAGCAGAGATGGATGTAATGCTAAGTAAACATCGTTCGATTTCACCAAGTTCAATTCTTTGTCCATGTAGTTTGATTTGATGATCTTTTCTTCCATGATAACGAAGCAGACCATTATCATCCATTGTGACAAGATCACCTGTTCGATAAAAGAGTTGACCATCTATTTCAACAAGAGCTTTTGCAGTTAAATCATCACGTCCAAGATAACCAGCAAAGATACCCACTCCACCTATGAACAACTCGCCTTCTTCTCCGATCGCCGCAGGTTGCAAAAAACTATCTAGGATCTTGTATTGTTCGTTAGCCAGAACTCTACCAAGAGGAATTTTGCTCTCAATAGATAAGGTGTCGACACGATGACATATCGACACAATGGTACATTCAGCTGGTGCGTATATATTGTGCATGTAATACTTATTTTTGCTATGGCTTCTGAGGCGGTCAACGAGTTTTTGTGAAAATGGCTCCCCTATAAGGATACGAGAAAGTTTTATTATCACCTTTATTTTGCTTTACTAACCGCCAATGCAAAGTGATCGCACGGTTGACCAAGAATATCGACTGGAAAGTGCAAAAAAATCACATAAATGATTTAAGAAAGTTGGAACAGGTGCAAGACATGTGATCTGCTTATGTTGCAGTGTGTGAGCAAAATACGCAAAATCCATATTGCCGTATGGATGTAACATCACAACAGTCGCACACAAAAGTAAACTACCCATGATTTCCATGACATGTACATCGTATGTCGGAGCACATATTTGAGACACTATGTCATGCTCGTTTAATACACCAGCATTTTGCATAGAATGCACGAAATTTGTAAAGTTTCGATGTCTAGTCTGAGCCTATAACAAAGTGAAAAACTGTCAAAGATATTTTAGAAACTTCAGAAAACATACTGCTTTTGGCGTTCCAGTAGAACCACTTGTAAAAATAATGTACGCGACATCGTCCGATACTGTTATAACTTTCGATAGCCGAATCAAATCAGTAACATATTCAGTGACATAGCTCGTTAATACTGAGTCAGTTTCAAGTGAAACAGTATCTTGATCGAATTTGGTCTTAGTTAAATGATGAACAAGTACAAGGCGACTTTGAGTTTGTTGCGTGAGTGCATGTAAACGATGTTGTGGATCTCGAGGTGATAATGGACAATAAACACCACCAGCCATTTCAATCGCCATTATACCAATCACCTAGTCAAAATCAATCTCAAACTCACATTAATTGTTACTTATCTTAATTAACTTACCATTGACAAACTTCGCTCAACACATTGACACACAACCTCACCTGGAACAACATGATATTCATTAAGAAGAGCTAAAGATAATACTTGAACATAATAAAGCAGTTCACAATATGTCAACGATTGTTCATCTAGTTCAACAGCCAGTTTTTGTGGATGTTTCATTACTTGGCAAACAAATTCATGATGAATACAAGTGAGCGGAGATGAAAATAATACTTGTGTATTATTCATTGATTGCATGAGTAATCTTTCATTTGGTAATGTTAATGATAATTCATGGATGGGTTTGTTTATTTGACTGTGAATAATAGATGCAGATAACTCATGTAAGATGCAATGAAATCGTTGCGAAATCTTCGCCACTGTGTCTCTATTGAATAAGTCAAGTGATGCATTGATTGTGCATGAGAATTGATTGATATTGAGATCATGTTGGATTACAAGTGAGAAATCATTAATGTTCATTGTCGTAGGTATGGAAGAAAGTTGACTATCACCAATCATTATTAATTTATTGTCAGTTGTTGTCATAGATGATAGAAATTGAAATGATATATCAAGAAATGTAGGTTTTGAAATATTTGGATGTCGATTGAGAATACGTTGAAGAGGAAAATAAGAATATTTCAAACTTTTTGTTGTTGTCTCGCCTACATGCTCAAGTAGTTGGTGGAAAGACCAATAAGGATCTAATCGACACCGTAATGGGATGATATTTTCAAATAAACCAATTATAGATCTTAGATCATCTCTATAACGATTATCGATGTTCTTTGCAATAAATAAATCTTTTTCACCATTCGTTATTTTAAATAAGAAGATAAAGTAAGTAGTAAGTGCTAGATGTTCATGTTTGGTATTGTTTGATGATACATACGTGAGAAAATGATGTGAGAGATCTTGATCAAAATTAAAAGAGATAGACGTTGTATGACCAGTTCGATGTTTATTTGAGAGACGATATCGATCAAATGGTAATGATAAAGATTGATCCAGATGACAATCATGCAAAGTGTCAAGCCAATACATATTTGCACCAGTGATGGACATTTGTTGTTCGATAAGAGCATCTAAATAAGAAGAAAGAAACAGTAGTTTGAATAGAACAATGGATTGAATAAACTTACAATCGATATAACGTAGAGTAGTATTGTTATCAGTTGTTAGTTGACCTGTTTGGTAAGCTTGATTGAGATCATGAAGAAATATATTCATTGATGGATAATCAAAGAAAGCATGATGAAAGTTGAAGATAATTATATCTTTATCACGAAGGATGTTATTTGAAAAGATTTGTTTGTAGTAAATAATATGACATCGAAAGACAAGACCTTGAGCAAGATCAAAAAGATGAGTATTACGTTTCTCGTCGTGGAAAATCTCATTAAGTTGTTCATCTGTTTCATAAGTAGTTTCGATGATTGAAAACATATTATTATTATTTTTATTTTCATGAGTAATAACTCGTTGCATAAGTAGATTCTTTTGGATGTCAAAATGAAGTGATGTATGAAGTGATTCATGTTTGGTGACAATGAGTTGAAGAGCATGACGAAGTTGTTTTACGGATAAAACATCTCCTGTATAGAGGCGATAGAAAAATGGCAAATTATGGGTCCTTAAAGATGGTTGATCAGCATCGACATCTCTTTGATTTTCTGACCATATACGGTATTGTGCAAAGGATGCTGGTGCTATAAAAATTAAAGTTTAGTTGGTTATAGCGAGTAACCATGATAATCAATTGCTGTTTTATTATATTATTGTCTGCTTAGTTGATCTATTTCTTAGCTGAATAGAATTAATATTGTTTTTACTTGCATAAGTTAACAATTTCAGGTTTAAACATATCATTTATTAAGAATTGCGTCAAAACTAACAATAATTCCCAAAAATGACTAGTAATAAAGTTTCAAAACAATACGTGAATACATTTACTAAGAAAAGTTTTGACGAATATCCTATTATCTCGTTTAATCGAGTTCTCATTAGTATACACCAGTGTGTGCAATGCATGGTACATATATTATTCAAGATTAGAATACTAAACTTTTTAGAAAAGAAGTATAAAGAAAATTTGAAAAGTGAGACCTAGATCTGACATTCAGCTAGCTTTTCAGATAATCTTGTCATCATATATATGCGCGCGAGTAGAAGGCTTACTACAAATGGATGAACGAAAAAGAGTGAGACACCTGATTTTACAAAATCATCGTAATAATAAGGTGTTACTTCCTCATATTTTCAGTTCAACAAAGAAGAAGAAAATCGTATAGCCAGGACATAATAAATTACCATGTTTCGTCGTACGTTTCCTTAACGTTAATCTTTTTCATCAATATAAGTATTATAGCCTTGAAAAGATTTTTAAAATGGATATACCTTCATTGACAATATTTTCCAGTTTATGAAACGCTATTGTGTGTATTTCTTCACTTTCTTCGTGTAAAATAAGAGAAAGTTTGCTGATCGATATATTATATCCATTCATCCAAGTATTACTTAATTTGCTATCAAAAATCTGCTCGCAAAGATATTCCAATCTTCGACCTATTATAGCAGCTGTTGTTGCATCAAATATATCACGTGAACCAACAAAAGAGCAAGACAATTGATTATCACCTGATGATGGCTTGTAAAGAAATCTCATTACGAAGTCAAACTTGGCCATTTCATATGATTGATTTAACGATACTTGTTTCAGATTGACACCATTTAAATATAAATATTCCATATCTTTTGACTCAGTAATAAAATCAAACATTGTTTCAAGAAATGATGCATTTGATTGACTGACATTTAAATCACTTAGAATATGTTGAAGTGGATAATGAGAATGTTTAAGAATTGATAAACATTTCTCTTGTACATATTTAACTACTTCATCAAATGACCAATGACGGTCAAGCTCAATACGATATGGTGATGTTGACACAAACATTCCAATCATATTCACTAGTTCACTTCGATATCGATTAGCATTAATAGAACCAACACACAGATCAGTATCACCATGAGTTAATTTAAATAAAAATACATAAAATATGGATAATCCAAGTTGAAAGAGTGTGAGATGATGTGCTGATGCATAGTTGAGAAATGATGTGCATATCTCATTATCAAAAGTAATTTCAGCGATAGATGCTAAACCGGATCGTTGTTGATTAGTTGGTGAACGTTGTCGGTCAACAGGTAATGACAATTGGTGAGTGAGATTATATCCTTTGAGTTCTAATAACCAAAACTCTTGTGATAATGTCATATCCATTGTGTGTTCATAAATAGAATAGTCAATGTACTGTAATGAATTATCATCTATAGGAAGCAAGTCATTGGATTGATAAGCAAGAGAAAGATTACGAATGAAGATTGATACTGATGCTCCATCAAACATTGCATGATGAATAGTAAATAATATTAGATCATCTTTAGTCAATAGATCATCATTATTGTGAGTGAATGAATTATTTGATTGATGTCGACGAAGAATATGACAATTAATAACATGTCCTTTTGATAAATCAAATAAGTCTGATTGGTTTAAAATCTTCTTTACAATTTCATTCTCTTCATGTTCTTCATCGGGAAGATTAATTATTGAGAATCGAGAGAAGTCCTTATCATTGATAATAGCATTTACATCTAAACAATGTTGAATAATAGTACCATTTGTATCAAGAGAGAGTGCTGTTCGAAGAATTTGATGTTTTGTAATGATAGATTGAAATGTATGTTGTAATTGTGAAATAGATATGTGATCATTCATAGATGAAATTCGATAAATTAATGGAATAACATACATGTTAGTATTATGATCTGTTGATGAAAATCGAATTCGTTCATCTAAATAGATTCGTACTTGTGCAAATGATGCTTCAGCTACAATGAGAAAAAAGGGAAGTATGTAGTTGATGATAATATCTAGCAGAAATTGTTTTGCTTACTTTGAATAATATGTAAGGGAGACCAAGGGTACTCATCCACAGTATGGATGGTATTGATAGATTGTTGAATGAATTGAGCATGATGGCTAATTGTTGGATGTTCAAATAGATTTGAAATAGAAAGAGTATGTGTTTCTGAATAAAACTCGATCTTGTATCGATGAAAAAGTTGCATGATAAGTAATGAATGACCACCAATAGTAAATATATTTGTATCAGTTGGTATTTGATTTTGTTTGAATATCTCACACCAAATACGATGAATATTAACTTCAATATCATTTGTTGGTAGTGATAGCTCTACACTGTTTGTGAGACGTGTTGATGGGAAGTGAGGTGGCGGAAGAAGTTTTCGATCTATTTTTCCATTCTGATTCAAAGGTAATTTATCAAGTATAATAAATATGGATGGAATCATATGTGGTGGAAGATGAGATTGACAATGTTCACGCAATTTCTTTTCATTAATCTCAGAACATTGAACATATGCAACTAAATGATCATCATTCCATTTCACAACAACACAATTAGAAATCGATGTAGTGTTAAGTAAACATCGTTCGATTTCACCAAGTTCGATTCGTTGTCCATGAAGTTTGATTTGATGATCTTTTCTTCCTTGATAATGGAGGAGACCATTTTTATCGATTGTAACAAGATCACCTGTTCGATAAAAGAGTTGACCATCTATTTCAACAAGAGCTTTTGCAGTTAAATCATCATGTCCAAAATAACCAGCAAAAACGCCTGATCCTCCTATAAAAAGTTCACCTTCTTGATCGCTAACAGATGATTGTAAATATCGATTCATAATCATACATCGGTAGTTAAAAAGTGGTCTACCAATTGAAACGCTTCGTGTGTCGTCTATCAGATGTACTCTGTGGAAGGTAGAAACTATAGTTGTTTCTGCTGGACCATATAAATTCCACACAACACAGCTCGGTGTGCAAGTTTCAAGAATCAATTTGATTAAAGGAACAGCAAAAGCTTCACCTAGAATAAGGAAAATATAGTATGATGAAAGAATGAGAATCAATTTAAGTCACTCACCAATACTACAAAGTGATCGAAGATGTTTTACGGCATTTATGTTCCTGTTTTGCTCAATAAAAACGAAAAAGCTATGTAGAAAGCTTGGTACAGTATGTAGATATGTGATCTGTTTGTTCTGTAAGGTTTCAGATAAATAGTTGAAATCAATCGTTCCACCTGGATGAAGCATAATCAATGTACCTCCAATCAACAATGTACCAAGTATCTCTTGAACATGAATATCAAATGAACATCGTGTCATTTGTACAATTGTATCATCTTTATTAAATGAGTTAATATAAGCCAAAGAATGCATACAATCAATAAAGTTCTTATGTCGAACTTGAACCTATGGAAGAACATGAAAATCAATCAAATATTCCACAATTCAGTGTCAACGAACCGCTTTAGGTGTTCCAGTTGAGCCACTTGTGAAAATAGTGTACGCTATTATTTCGCCTTTCACTATCACACTTGAAAGGCAATTATAACTTATGTTACTTTCTATATCATTGACATTTAATATTGAATCAATATTAAGCGCAATAATGTCATGATTAAATTTCGTCGTAGTTAAATCATGAACAAGAATAAGACGACTTTGTGTTTGTTGTGTAAGTGCATGTAAACGATGTTGTGGATCTCGAGGTGACAATGGACAATAAACACCACCAGCCATTTCAATCGCCATTATACCAATCACCTAATTAAAATCAATCTCATATTTACATCAATAGTTACTCATCTTAATTAACTTACCATTGACAAACTTCTTTCAACACACTGACATACGACCTCACCTGGAAACACATGATATTCATTGACAAGAGTTAAAGATAAGACTTGAACATAATATAGAAGTTCACTATATGTCAAAGCTTGTTCATCTAGTTCAACAGCCAGCTTCTGTGGATGTTTCATCACTTGATATACAAATTCATGATGAATACAAGTGAGAGCAGATGGAAATGATATTTGTGTGTTATTTAATGATTGTATTAGTAATCTTTCATTTGGTAATGTTAATGATATTTCATGGATTGACTTATTCATATGATTATCAAGAGATGTAAATAACTGATTTAAGATTGAACGAAATCGTTGTGAAATCTTCTCCACTGTCTCTATATTGAACAAGTCAAGTGATGCATTCATTGTCCATGATAGTTGATTCATGTTCTTATCATGATAAATAGGAAGAGAAAAGTCGGACACACTTGGTATCTGCTCTTCATTAATGTTGGATAAGGAAATTGCTGGAACAAGTTGAGAATCCCCAACCATCATTGCATTGTTGTCACTGTTACTCTTGTACGATATAAATTCCAGAGATGTGTCCAAAAATGCATTTTTAGATATATGTGGATGTTGAGTGAGAATATGTTGAAGTGGAAAATATGAATATTTCATACTGTTTGTTGTTGTATCCTGAACATGTTCTAGTAATTTATGAAAAGACCACTGTGGATCTAATTGACATCGTAATGGAATGACATTCTCAAACAGTCCAATGATTGATTTGAGTTCATCTCTATATCGATTATTATTGATGTTCATAGCCAGGCAAAGATCTGTTTGTCCATTAGTTAGTTTAAATAGAAAGATGAAATAAATAGTAAATGTGAGATGTTCAAGTGATATGTTGTTTGATGATGCATGAAGAAGAAACTCATGTGAAAGATCCTGACCAAAATCAAAAGAAATCGATGTTGTATGGCAAGTTCGATGTTCATTTGCAAGACGATATCGATCAAATGGTAATGACAAAGGTTGATCAAGTTTACAATCATGAAGAACATCTAGCCAAAACATACTTGCACCAGTCATCGACGTTTCTTGTTCAATAACAGCATCTATAAAATTAAAGACAAGAATGTAGTAGAAAAGAGAAAAGTAGAAGTAGTATTTATAATTACAGTCGAGATAACGAAGATTAGTGTTGTCATCATATAGTAATTGACCTGTTGTATATGCCTGATTGAGATCGTGAAGAAATATATTCATTGATGGAAAATCAAATAAAGCATGATGAAAGTTGAAGATAAGTAGATCTTTGTGAGAAAGAAGATGATTTGAGGAGATTTGTTTGTAATAAACAAGATGACATCGAAAGACAAGACCTTGAGCAAGATCAAAAAATCGAGGATTATGTCTTTCTTCATGTATGATATGATTGAGTTGTTCATGTGTTGTGTAAGTGCTTTCAATAAATGTAAATAATTTATTATTATTCTGGCTGAAATCGATGATTTGTTGCATGAGTCGATTGCTGTGTGGATGAAAGTTGAGTGATGTTCGAAGGGATTCATGTTTGGTAATGACTAGTTGAAGAGCATGATGAAGATGTTGCACTGATAAAGAATGATGTGAGTAGAGAGAATAAACAAAAGGCATGTTGTAGATTGGTACTTGTGATCTGTTGGGAGGGAAGTGAAAAGATTCATTATACCATAGACGAGCTTGTGCAAATGATGCTGGTGCTAGAATAATCAGAATTAAGTTGATTGCAGTTCTGAAACCGAATTATCAACTGATGTTTGATTTCAGTCTCCTAGCCACGTTTTAGGCGAGCTGTTTTCTAACTAGTAAAACAATTGATCGAGAGTGTGGAGTCCGGATTCAGATTGGATTAGGTAATAGTCGTTTGAATACCTTTGTATCACAACTGAGATCATATTTTGATACATTGTCGTTAATACTAGAAGACAGCTAAAACTTTTGCTATTGTCGTCGGGTAGGTGTGCGATAAGAGAAAAGACATTCCGATCTGCATCGACATCCTCACATCTACGTCCACCCTCCCATGATCATTAGGGAGCGTAATCTCAGTTAAAATATTACATTTCTGTTCTCGAATGATCTCACTGATATAGAAACATATCTGCAATGGTATTTTTGCATAAGGTATTGATTGCCAATATAAACATTCATTAGGAAAAACTTGGTCTAGATAAACATACCTTCGTTCATTATATGTGATTGTCGACAAAAGATAATATCTTCCATTTCTTGAGTTTCTTCTGGTAGAATAAGATTAATCTTCGATATAGATGTAAAACATGTATCAATTCGATTCATAGTTTCTTTCGATGAAAAAAGTTGTTGAATACAATATTCTAATCTTCGACCTATATTTGTAACTGTAATCTCATCAAACAGATCATGTGAACAAGTTAAACAAAATGATAATCTATTATTTTGCAACATTGGATTATAGACAAACATTAACATAAAATCAAACTTAGCCACTTCAAACGATTGTTCAAATGACACTTGTTTAAGGTTTGCTCCATCGAAAGATAATTCATCGTTGTGTGACGATATAGTAATAAAGTCATACATTGTTTCGAGAAATGAAATATTTGATTTATTAACATGTAAATTAGCAAGAATATGTTGAAGTGGATAATGTGAATGTCCAAGAATTGATAAACATTTTTCTTGAACATATTTAATCAGTTCATCAAATAACCATTGCGGATCAAGTTGAATACGATACGGTAGTGTCGAAACAAACATTCCCATTATATTTTGTAGTTCAGTTTTGTGTCGATTAGCATTAAGAGAAGAAATACATAAATCATTTTCACCATGAGTTAACTTGGAAAGAAAAGCATATAATACAGTTAGACCTAACTGAAATGGTGTCACATGATGTATAGAAGCATAATCAAGAAATGATTGTGAAATCTCGTTGTCAAAAGAGGTTTGAGTGACAGAAGCAGAACTCGATCGATGATCATTAGACAAGCGATGTCGATCAGCTGGTAATAATAATCGAGATTCCAAATTGTATTCTTCTAACTGTAAATACCAAAATTCACGAGATGTTGACATATCAATTAGACGTTCATGTATACTGTAATCAATATATTGCAATGATTCATCATTTTCTGCTGATATTGTGTTAGTATTGTAAGCTAAACATAGATCATTGAAAAAGATTGAACGACTTGCTCGATCAAATGCTGCATGATGAAAAGCAATGAGAAGAACATCAGAATTAGTTATGAATTCACTGGTATTATTTTCATTTAATGATATTTGATGTTTCAGAATCTCAGTATGAAAAACACGACCAGTTGATAAATCAAAGAGCGTAGGATTAATAGTTGTTTGATAAATAATGTTTTGAAGTTTATTTTCATTTTCAAATGTTTGATTCATAGTTACTGTGAATGTTTTATGTGTATCTGTAATGCATTGCGTTAAATTACTATTATCATTGTTTAACATAAGAGATGTCCGTAATATTTTATGTTTATTCAAAACACATCGTAGTGCTTGTAATAAACGATTGAATGATAATGATCCTTGAACAACTTGTAAAGTATGCAGTTCATTGTAAATAGCAATATCACTCGAAAAACGAACTTGTTCATCGAGAAAGATACGTTCTTGAGCAAAAGAGGCAATACCTGGGAATTAAACAATAGAAACTATTTTAATAATTTCCAAGCAAACACTTTTACCTTCATTTATATGTAATGTACACCATTGAGTTGCCTTGATATTATTCACTATAACAGTTTGAAGTAATTGTGAATGTTGAAATATAGTTGGTTGTTGAAGAAATGGAGCAATGGAAAGTGTATGAGCATCAAAGTTAAATACTGATTGATAATGATGATAAAGTTCAATAAATAACAGTGAATGACCACCAATACTAAAAAAACTAGTCGTTCTAGAAATGTGATTTTCATTACAATGAAGAACTTGACACCAAATAGAGTGTATACGTTCTTCGAACTGATTAAGAGGAGTATCAGATTTATCGGGCGATAACAAAGTTGATAAAGAAGAACCGGGTGAGGGAAGTTGTTTTCGGTCTACTTTTCCATTTTGATTCAAAGGTAGTTTCTCAAGTATGATAAAGAAAGATGGAATCATATGTGGTGGAAGATGAGATTGACAATATTGACGTAGTTCTTCTTCATTCACGTGAGATGATTGAACATATGCAACTAAATAGTCATCATTCCATTTCATGACAACACAAGCAGAGATGGATGTAATGCTAAGTAAACATCGTTCGATTTCACCAAGTTCAATTCGTTGTCCATGTAGTTTGATTTGATGATCTTTTCTTCCTTGATAATGGAGAAGACCATTGTTATCTATTCTAACAAGATCACCTGTTCGATAAAATAGTTGACCATCTATTTCAACAAGAGCTTTTGCAGTTAAATCATCACGTCCAAAATAGCCGGCAAAGACACCGGCACCTCCTACACACAATTCTCCTTCTTCGCCAATAGGAACAGGTTGTAAGTATACATCAAACATCTTGCATTGATAATTAGCAAGAAGACTACCTATAGGAACATCCAAATGACCAGACATGGAGTCAATAAGATAAATTGTCGATAGCATTGTTGTTTCAGCCGGCCCGTATACATCCCACATGTAGCATGTCTTCTGCACGTAGTGCTTGACATGGTATACCAACTTGTGAGAGACAACTTCACCTAGAAATTTAGGAAAAGGTTATATAATTGCGTTTTTTATGTATTCTACTAACCGCCAATTGCAAGCGATCGCAGTGTAACTAACGGATTACCATTAAAATTCTTTTCAATAAAATCACAGAAATTATACAAGAAACTAGGAACAGATGCCATATACGTAATTTGTTTGTTTTCCAGTGTATTTGCGAAATATAAAAAATCCATATTCCCATAAGAACGTAACATGACAACAGACGCGCTTGAAAGTAAAGCACCCACAATTTCCTGAATATGTGCATCAAATGCAGCAGCAAAAACTTGCACCACTGTGTCCTTTTCGTCAATGTAGTCAATGTATTGAAGGGAATGTATGAAACTTATGAGATTTTTATGTCTTGTCTGAGTCTAAAACAAAGAGAAGAAGTGAAGCAAATATTCTAGAATGCAGTAAAGACAAACCGCTTTAGGAACACCAGTTGAACCACTTGTGAAAGTGATGTAAGCTATATTGTCCGATGTAACGTTTATACCTGATAGTTGGTCAACATCATTATCACTTTTCATATAGTTGTCAGTGCATACTAAATCAGTATTGACTGAGATAATATTATCATTAACCTTATTTGTTGTAAAACGATGAACAAGAAGAAGCTGACTTCCTGTTTGTTCTATCAGTGCATGCAAACGATGCTGTGGATCTCGAGGTGATAATGGGCAATAAACACCACCAGCCATTTCAATTCCCATAATACCAATCACCTAATCGAAATCAATCTCAAGTTCACATTCATTGTTACTCATCATAATTAACTTACCATTGACAAACTTCGCTCAACGCATTGACATATGACCTCACCTGGAAGAACATGATATTCATTAAGAAGAATTATGGATAATAATTGTACATAATGTAAGAGTTCACAATATGTCAATGACTGTTCATCTAGTTCAACAGCAAGTTTTTGTGGATGCTTCATTACTTGATATACAAATTCATGATGAACACAACTGACAGGAGATGGAAATAATACTTGTGTATTATTCAATGATTGCATTATATACCGTTCACTTGGTAATATTATTGATAATTCATGAATAGATTTATTTTTTTCACTATTAAAAGATGTAAATTGTTGATGTAACATTGTCTGAAATCTTTGTGCAATTATGCAAATTGTTCCAGGATTAAATAAATCAAGTGAAGCATCGATTGTGCATGAGATTTCATTTAGATTCAGATCATGCTGAAAACTAAGCATGAAATCAAATTTACTCATTATTTCATCTTCACTAATCTTAATTGAATAAGGTATTAAAGAAATTCGACTATCACCGATCATTATACCATCTTCCGCATCTTTTGTCATAGATGATACAAAGTCAAAGGAAGTATCAAGAAATACAGGATTTGATATATTTGGATGTTGATTGAGAATACGTTGAAGTGGAAAATATGAATACTTAATATAGTTTATCATATTATCTTGAACGTGCTTAGTGATTTTATTAAATGATAAATGAGGATCGAGTTGACATCGCAAAGGTATCGCATTCACAAACATGCCAACGATAGAGTTAAGTTCATCTCTATATCGACCATCTGTGTTTATTCCAATGCATAAATCTTTTTCTCCATTCGTTAATTCAAATAAAAACACATAATAAGTGGCAAGTGCAAGTTGTTCAAGTGATACATTATTCGATGATGCATGAGTACGAAAGTTATGTGAGAGATCTTGACCAAAATCAAAAGAAATAGATGTTCCACGACCAGTTCGATGTTCATTTGCAAGACGATATCGGTCAAATGGTAATGGTAAAGATTGATCAAGTTTACAATCATGAAGAGCATCAAGCCAAAACATACTTGCACCAGTCATTGACATTTGTTGTTCAATAACAGCATCTGTTATGCAATTAAAGAAGAGAATGTATGAGAAAAGATAAAAAATATAAGAACTAATTATATTTACAATCGAGATAACGAAGATTAGTGTTGTCATCATATAGTAATTGACTTGTTGTATATGCTTGATTGAGATCATGAAGAAATATATTCATCGATGAAAAGTCAAATAAACCATGATGAAAGTTGAAGATAAGTAGATCGTTGTGAGAAAGAAGATGATGTGAAGAGATTTGTTTGTAGTAAACAAGATGGCATCGAAAGACAACACCTTGAGTAAGATTAAAAAGATGAGGATTACGTTTCTCGCCATGTAAAAGTTCATTGAGTTGTTTATCTGTTTCATAAGTAGATTCGATGATTGAAAACATATTATTCTTATTATTTTTATGTTCATGAGTAATAACTCGTTGCAGAAGTAGATTCTTTTCGGTGTCGAAATGAAGTGATGTATGAAGTGAAGGATGTTTGTGAACAGTGAGATGAAGAGCATGTTGAAGTTGTTTAATGGATAAAGTATGGCCTGCTTGCAACCGATAAACAAAAGGCATATTATAAATTGCTATTTGAGGGTTGTTTGGATCGAATCGAATTCTTTCATCAAGCCATATACGAGCTTGTGCAAATGATGCTGGTGCTAGAATAATGAAATTTTAGTTAATTATAAGGTAAAACCATATTGAAGGTGTGGATGGATATAGGTGTGCACATTGTATTAATCATACACTCTTACTAAATCCCACAATCAGACCCACGCCCACACCCACCCATCCTCAACTTTTTCTATTGAAAATATTTTTAATATGTATATATGTCTATCGTTGTCAACTATTCGTCGTTGTCCAAATCTGTTTCTTCCTTGTTTTTCTTATATGATGTTCTTCCACAACTAGAGAATCTTTTCATACGCAAAAAGAATAGCCATACCTTCTGTAGAAACGCCTGTCTGGCGACTTAATGTTAATGCACATATTTCGCTCGCTTCTTCAGGCAATATCAAAGACAAAGTTTTGATAGACTTAGTAGATCGATTCTTTTCTATGCCATTTGAGTTTGTCAGAAATAATTGTGACAGGAGATGCTGAAATCGTTGCGCTATTGTTTTAACAGTAGTGTTATCAAATAAATCATGCGAACAGGAGAATCGACAGGAAAGTTTATGATTATCTGATGTCGGATTGTATAGGAACATTGTTGAGAAGTCAAACTGAGAAATTTCATTTGCTTGTTTGATTGAAATTTGTTCTAAGCGTACATCACCTATAGAATACCAATCAATATTTGTAGACACCGGTATAAAATTAAATACGATCTCAAGAAATGGAACATCCAATTGATTAAGTCGAAAATCAGTAAGTATATGCTGAAGTGGATAATGAGAATGTTCAAGAATTGACAAGCACTTTTCTCGAACATGTTTCACAAGTTCATCAAATGACCAATGCGAATTGAGTTGTACACAATATGGTAACGTTGAAACAAACATGCCGATCATATTTTCTAATTCACTTCGATATCGATTAGCATTAATAGATGCAATGCATAAATCAGTTTCGCCATGAGTTAATTTGAAGAGAAACACATAAAATGCAGTCAAACCGAGCTGAAAAGGTGTAATTTGATGTAAGGAAGCATAATTGAGAAACATCATCGACAGCTCCCTATCAAAAGAGATTTGAGCTATCGACGCCAAGCCAGATCGTTGAACAGCTGGTAAACGGTGTCTATCAACTGGTAGCTTTAATGCGCGTTTGAGATTAAATCCTTCTAGTTGAGAATACCAGAAGCTACGAGATGATGTCATATCCATAATCCGTTCATAAACAGCATAATCAATATATTGCACTGATTGTTTATCAACTAAAACTGTCATGTTATTACTATAAGCATTATAGAAATCATTCAACAGGATTGGTATAGAAGTTCCATCAACTGCTGCATGATGAAAATATAATACAAAAACATCAGACTTTTCAAGAAACTCTGTGTGATCAGTATCATGTGTAGTCTTCTGCTGTTGAAGTATTTGGCAACTAAAAACTCGACCATTAGACAAATCAAACAGATCAGGATTGATAACCGTTCGATAAATCATATTTTGAAGTTCATTGTCACTCTCGAAAGTTTGTTGATCAAGAAACGTAAATGTTTTGTGATTGTCAGTGACATATTGCTGTAGTGTACTATCATCATTATTAAACACGAGTGAAGTACGCAATATTTCATGTTTCCTCAAAACCAGTTGGAGAGCTTGTAGTACTCGATTTATTGATAAGACACCTTCAGTAACTCGTAGTGCAGCGAAATTATTATAGAAGATATGTTTATTAGAGAATCGAATTTGTTCATCCAGAAATATACGTTCTTGAGCAAATGATGCCATACCTGAAAATACAATAACAAAACGCTTTAGTTTATTTTAATAGTTAATATTAGGAATTTGCACTTTGATTAATGTGGAGAGTATACCATTGTTCCCTTTGAATATCATCAGTCATGACTGTCTTTAATAACTTTGCATGCTGTTGAATAGTTGGTTGTTTAAGAAACGAACTAATAGCTAATGCACGACTATCGAAACCAAAGATAGTTTGATAACGATGATAAAGTTCAATAAATAAACGAGAATGACCTCCGATAGTAAAGAAGTTTGTAGTTGTTGATATTTGTCGTCCATTATGCTCCAGCACTTGGCACCATATATCATATACATCTTTTTCTACTTGATTAACTGGTGTATCAAGTTCACTTACTGATGGCGTAGTTGACGATGGAAGGTAAGATGATGGAAGTAGTTTTCGATCTATTTTTCCATTTTGATTCAAAGGTAATTTATCAAGAATAATAAAGAAAGATGGAATCATATGTGGAGGAAGATGAGATTGACAATGTTGTCGAAGTTGTTCTTCATTTACATTATAACTCTTTTCTTCGACATAAGCAACTAGATAGTCATTATTGCTATGTACTACTTTGACAACAATACACATTGCGGCAATACTCATAATCACTGATTCAATTTCACTTAATTCAATACGTTGTCCTCGAAGCTTCACTTGGTAATCTTCTCTACCACGGTATTCAAAACAACCGGTTTTGGTATTGAAACATCCTAAGTCTCCTGTCTTATAGCAGAGTTCATTATTGATTTGACACATGGCTTGTGCCGTTAACTCATTTCGATTACGATAACCGGCGAACACACCAGCACCTATATAAGCATTGGAAGAATGTGAACAATTTGCTCATTTACGTTTATGTAGAAAATTACTCACCCCCAATAATAATTTGACCCACATGCATGCCTGGTATAATGGGTTGAAGATACTTGTCGACGACATAGATGTACACATTTGCCATAGGCTGTCCCAGCGGTATAGAACCACGAACAAGGTCGTCTTCTGTTATTAAATGTTCAACTGCTGCTTCTGTACATTCAGTAGGACCATAATAGTTGTAAATCTGACAGTTGTTTTTTAGGTAACGTTGAATATCAACAACAGTACCAACGAATAGCGATTCTCCTAACATTAAAAACGAAAAATTTTGAAAAAAAACTTGTACTTTTACAACTATTTCAATACCTCCGGTTGATACACATCGAAGCGTTTCAAAAACATAATTTCGATTTGTAGTATTTAGAAACTTAGTTAAATTAATCATCTGAGATGGTACAGTGCCCAGATATGACACTTGATGATGAGTAATTGTTTTTGAAAATAATTCCATATCTAGCTGTCCGTAAGGATGGAGAATAACCACTAGACCGCCTACCATAATAGTACCTAAAGTTTCGCTCAGATGTGCATCAAAAGTTACTGATGTATGGTGAAGAGAAGTGTCAGACGCTTTGATTATGTAAGATCTAATGTAAAACACGAAGTTACGATGGCGCAATTGAACCTGAAATTATTGAACCAAACAGAATATAGTACTGTTCTGTATTATTTAAATTTAATACACGTACTGCTTTGGGTATGCCAGTTGAACCACTTGTGAAAATGAGATAAGCAATATCATTGGATGTCACTCTGACATTGGATAGTCGATCAATATCAGCATCACCCTTTGAGTCATGATTAGCCACTATCGAATGAATATCAATCAAAACAATATCGTTATCATGAAATTTCGCTCTTGTCAACCAATGAATAAGAACAATACGACTTTGAGTTTGTTCTATAAGTGTATACAAACGATTTTGTGGATCTCTAGGTGACAATGGACAATATACACTTCCACTCATTTCAATAGCCATTATACCAATAATCTACGAAAAACAAACATACAAAACCTTCAATTAGATGAATCTTCATCACTTTAAACAACAACTCACCATCGATAAGCTTCTCTCTACACATTGACAGATAATTTCACCTGGAACGATAAGATGTCTTTTCACAAGATGTGAAGATAAAACTTGTGCATAATATAACAGTTCAGTATATGTAAGAGATTGATTATCGAATTCAACAGCTAGCTTCTGTGGATGTTGCATGACTTGATAAACAAACTCATGATGAATACAAGTGATCGAAGGAAATGATTTTTGTGTATTATTCATTGATTGCATTACATATTGCTCGTTTGATAATATTAATGATAATTGATAGATAGGTTTGCTTATTTGACCGTCGATAACAGATGTAGATAATTGATGAAACATGAAATGAAATCGTTGTGAAATCTTCTCTGCTGTCTCTCTATTGAATAAGTCAAGTGATGCATTGATTATACATGCAAATCGATTAGTGTTAAGATCATGTTGAATGAGAAGGGAAAAATCGTCGAGTTGATTTCTGGTCTCCTTCTCATTTATATTTATTGGAGACGTGACCGAAGAAAGTTGACTATTACCAATCATGATGATGTTGTTGTCATTTATTGTCATAGATGAGAGAAATTCAAATGAGACATCAGGAAATGCAGATTTGGAAGCACGTGGATGTTGATCTAGGAGACGTTGAAGTGGAAAATAAGAGTATTTTCGACTGTTTGTTAGTATCTCTTTAACATGTTTAACAAGGTTATGTAGAAACCATTGTGGATCTAGTTGACATCGCAAGGGAATAGTATTGACAAACATACCAATCACAGATCTAAGTTCATCTCTGTATCGACCATCTATGTTCATTCCAATGCATAGGTCTGTTTCTCCATTCGTTAGTTTAAATAGAAAGACAAAATACATAGACAACGCTAGATGTTCAAAAGAGAAGTTTTGTGAAGATGTGTAGTGAAGGAAAGTATCACAAAGATCCCGATCGAAATCGAATGAAATAGATGTTCTAAAACTAGATTGGTATTCATTCGTTGGTCGATATCGATCATATGGCAATGAGAGAGATTGATCTAGTTTGCAATCACGCAGAGCATCATGCCAGAACATGCTTGCACCAATCATGTGCATGTGTTGTTCAATGACAGCATCTAAAGAAGAGAGAAAGACATGATATGATTATAAAGAGAGAAGTATGAATATTTACAGTCGAGATAGCGAAGTCTGTTAGTGCTGTTCTCATTGAATAGCTGACTTGTAGTGTATGCTTGATGAAGATCATGGAGAAATATCTTCATCGATGGACAGTCGAACGAGGCATGATGGAAGTTGAAGATGATAATATCGTTATCGGAGATAAGATCGTTGGTGGAAATCTGTTTATAACGAACAAAGTGGCATCGGAAGACACGACCCTGAGCAAGATCGAAAACGTGAGGATTATGTGTTTCATTGTGCATAATTTCATCCAGTTGTTCATCTGTTTCATAAATACTTTCGACTACAGAAAACTGATTATTTTTATGATTCTGTTGGTCAACAATTCGTTGTGTGAGAATGCTTTTTGTAGTATCAAAAATAAGTGCTGTTCTTAGAGATTGATGTTTGTCAACAACAAGATCGAGTGCGTAACGAAGCTGCTGAACGGACAAAGTATGATCAGCTGAAAGACGATAGCAGAATACCATATTGTGTGTTGCCAATTGTGGTTCATCCAAATGCAAACGACGTTCTTCATCGAGCCATATTTGGTGTTGAGCATATGAAGCTGGTTCTATAATAGTCAGACATTATTTTTACTCACTTATTAGGTTTATTTGCATAGTTAAATACTCGAATCGCTCGCAAATAGCCGAAGTTATACATTTTTTATGTTCGAAGGGGTTTAAACTGATTTCACAAGTTACTCATTATGTACAAGTTTTAATTCATGCAGATATGTAGAGAGGAATTAGAAATGAGCTTTTTTCGAAGCACTTACTTATTTCGGAGAAATGGCGTAGTGATTCGATGACGTTTGATAAATTTTCAACGTTCATTGGTAAAAGAGAAAGATTGCCAATTTTTTCAAAAACTGGGTCGAATCCAATGGTTTTCGTATTTTCAGTGAAGATATGTGAAAGTAGATTTTGAAAATATCGACCAATGTTGGACACCGTCACTTCATCATAACAATCAGCGCTACATTCAAAAATACAATAAGTCGTTTGGCTGGACTGATTATGAATCATTTTCAAATTCATATCATGAGAAGCAATACCATTAGCATGTAGCCAAGGTTGTTCAGTATATAAACTTAATGCCGCATCATTTGTCTTGACTATCGATTTCATTTCGCTAGTTGAAAAAGAGTAAATTTCTTCATATTGAAAATGAAATGGAATCTTGCTTGAACATAACTCCTTATTACCCTTGATAATCTCTTGATAAGGTAGTTGACAGTGATTAAGAATGTCCATGTCTAGTAGACAAATTTGCTGCACCAAGTTGATAAAACTTTCATTTGCATTAATTTTGATACGATATGGTAATAAATTTGCAAACGTACCAATCATGCATTTTGTATCAATGATTGATCGATTTTCTGTAGGACAAGTCACACACAAGTCACTAATAGTATCATCATTGAGTTCATAAATAAAGAGAAAGAAGCACGCTAATGCTGTATGAGACATAGACAAATCATGCAGCGATGCAAATTCCATCTGAGCTTGGACAAGTATCGAATCCAGTATAAATGATGTACTACGCCCTTCTCCAGAACGCTTTTTTGTGTCGAACGGGCGAGTAAATGGTGTCAGATAGTTTGCATCAAGGCTGTAGTCGTCCATCATTTTTGACCAAAACTGCTGGGCTCTTCGTATTTGAGAGTCTTCAGGGATATTAATGAATTGTTGACGCTCATATAGACTGAAATTGATATATTGTAACCTTTCAACATCCAGTTCCATTTGATCGTATGCTTTTGTAAAGGCAAGAAGAAACGAACCAATAGAATTATAATCGAATGCTACACCATGAAATATGAAAATAACCAGATCTTGAGGATATAATTTGTCCATGTCATCCTCAGATCCCACCTTAACTAGATGACAACGAACAACTAAACCATGTTCCAATTCAGCAAAATGCTTGACCGATTCATTCCTAAGTAGATCAGCAACTTCATTGGGACTTTGTATGTTGTTTGCTGTTATTTCAAAGGAATAAGCATCATTGTTGTCTACAGATTGCACTGCTTGGACCAACATGTTACGATTTTTATCGAAGTAAATTGCTGTTCGAAGTATTTCATGTTGTTCAAGAACAGCAACAATGGCCGAACGAATGCGCTCAATTGACTTTGAGCCATGTTTAATCACTAAAGGTAGAACCACATTATGCATGGCAGGTGATATTGATGGATCGTGATAGATCTTTTCATCAAGCCATATTCGCTCTTGTGCGAAAGATGCAGCACCGTGCGAACACCCAGCAGCAGGAATAGTTGATGATGCTGGTGAAGGCATCATTTCTTGCTCTTGAATCTTTTGTAATAAAGCCATTTCCATCATTGTTGACATTTTGTTTTTGAATTTGTTAAGTAGCAGAACCCTAATAAACAAGTACTATGAGAAATAGAATTGGGTGTGGGTGTGGGTGTGGGTGTGGGTGTGGGTGTGGGTGTGGTGGGGGTGTGGATGGGTGTGGGTGTGAGTAAAAGTAGAGAAAACAAATCCACGCCTTCACCCTCATACCCACAAGAATTCTTTTGATTCTCATCTCATATCTTCATTTTTCTAGACTTCTGATTTAGCTTTAAAGGTATCAGATAATACGATTAAAATTGCATATAGGTCGATATAGGTAATCGTCAAAGTTGAATCAGTTTAACTTGAAATTCAACAGAACCGAAAGCAAAAGAAAATAGTGACGTATTTCGCCAAACCTAACCGAACCGATACATCTTAAAACTGAACCGAACTGTGCCCATCTCTGACTAACAAGGGGAGGCCTCAACTGTCCAATCACTTTTGACGTAGAACTTACTAAGACCTCCCGACTCTGTGTCACTTAAAATATTTTAGTTACTATCTGACGAGGCAAGGTCCGCAAGTGATTAAAAGCTTTAGAGTACATATTTTGCCCAGTGGTAGGGTATCTATAGACTAGAACAATCCCTGAAGGATTCGTCCGGAGAATGAGATTTGACCGAGATATTTAAGTTTTACTTGATTTTCCTATAAGATCTTTAATTTTCCAATAAAATCATATTCTCGAATTTTAACCTGAAACTCTGTCCAGATATAGGTCTCTGTTAGACTGGCGTATGC